CCTGGATTTCCTGTGTGGTTTGCTTTTCCTGTCTCTCGTCTACTCTCTGCTCTCTTCCCTCCCCTGCTTCTCCCCCAGGTCTCCTCCCTTCTCTCCTTTCTCCTCTTTCATCAAGGGCTCCATGGATAGCACACTTATCTACTGTTCTCTGAAAACAAAGACAGATCCCCTGCCATCACATCGGTGCCGACTCACACTGACTGTATAGAACAGGCCTCCTGGCCTGCATTCTTTCTGCTCTCGTTAGGCCTCCTCCTCCCTATGGACCCACCTGGTTTGCTCCCCCGGGGCAGCTTGCATATTTCTCCGAAGAATCCTCATGAAATTGAGGATCCTGCCTTGAGACCCAGAGAGAGAGAGAAGGAGCGAAGGCCCACAGGGGTTCCTGGAAATCCGGGTGTGATTTAAGGTGTATTTTTCTTCAGAGCCCCCAGAATAATTGAAAATGGGCTTCCTGAAGAGTTTACCTATTGGTTCTCTCTCCCCCTCGCTAGAATACACCTTTCATGATGGGGAGCCATCTGCCTGTCTCGGTCACCTTGTCTGGCCGGCATGTCGCACGGTCTGTGGGTCAGGGCAAACCCATTGTCATCGAGTCCCTCTCCCTCGCCGCGTCACGGTGGGACGGGTAGGCCTGCTCCTGAGGGTTTCTGAGACTGGAAATTGAAAGGAGCAGACAGCTCCGTCCTCCTCTTCCCACCGAGCAGGTCGGTGGGCTCGAACAGCTCACCTTGTGCGGTCAGCCGCCGGACACGTAACCCACTGCCCCAGCAGAGCTCTGTGAGCAGGTGTCAAAGCATACTTCGTTACATTAACTGGTCAACTTGGAGTAGAGAGGGGCGTTTCCTTCCAATGCTCTTGGGCTTTCAGAACGGGCCTTTGAAACGCAGACTGACGCCTACTTGCAGATAGTCCACAGAAGCCCTGTCTGTGCCCGCTCTCGCCCACCGCCCATGTCCTTGGCCTTCACAATGGAGTCTAAACACCTTCACTGAGGGGAAGGCCTGTCAGAGGACGTGTCCGGTGACCCAAGACCCAGGGAACAGTGTTCCAGGCAGGGGGAACGAGAGGTGGGAGCCAGCTTGAGTGGGAGGCCAGCCAGTGCGGCTGAGAGCCAGGCAGGGGGTGGGGTGGGCCCTGCGAGGGGGTGAGGAGGTAGGCAGGGGCCAGGTCCCACAGGACTT